GACCCTGCTGTTTCTAATCCTGGATGTAATTCATCTTCTAATACGTTAGTTGCAGAACATCTTGTTAAAGGCCAGACTGATGAAGTGATCCAAAATAATGGCATTGCAGTTGATGGTGGCCTTGTGAAGATATCTGGAGATAAAGATGAATCTTCATTGGAAGTGATGGAAGTAGCTTGCAGTGACCAGTCTAATGCTAGCAAGGTGCACAACTTGCCTAATGACCCTGTGTTGAATGGGGTTTCCGGAATTTTGTGGGAAGATCTTCAGATTGGTGAACGTATTGGTATAGGTAAAGTTTCAATTTATTAGATTTATTCTCTCATTGAAGGTTTGAGATCTGTTGTGACATTAGAATAAGGTATGTGTGTGGGTGTTTTTTTTTTTCTTTTCTTATATTTAGAGTATGGATGTTGATACAGGGCTCAAGTGGTTCAGCTTCAAACATAAAAATTAAGATATTGATAATTTGAATAATGTTTCTGTGGTTTAAATGTTCACTTGACCCTTGAATTTGTTCAAATCATCAACCACTTGCTCTTAGTTCATAGTATTGCTCATGAATGATCTTTCTGTAGTCAAAGTTGGTAACTGTCTGAGAATTCTTTTCTGCCTGCTGTCCCAACAAATTGTAGAAGAGGTAAAGATATTAGATGTACATCATGAGATCAGTTCAAGCATGGGACCTGCTTCATTAAGGAAACAATTTCTTTGTCTATTGGTTTTGCCTTTAGTTGTTATTGCAAGGTTTTGCAATTGCATTGGATGGCAAACCTTCTGTAGTCTTCTCACTTTTTTTGGAGATCCTCTGTAGGTGCATTTTTTTTGCTTCTTTTAATAATTCTTTTCTTTATTTAGGATTTCTGAAGATGTACTAGTTCTGGTATTAAACCATAGAAAAAAATGCATGAGGTAGTTAATTAGTCGTGGAAGTTGCCTTTTTACCTGCTAGATTTTTATTACTTTCTAATTGCTATATGTTTTTCAATTTCTGTCAGAAACTATGGTCTCTGCTGGAGTTTGATAGTCTTTCTATACTGAACATATTCAATTTCCTTCCATATCTTGCAGGATCATATGGTGAAGTCTACCGAGCAGAGTGGAATGGCACGGTAAGCTTTATATTTATGCATTTATCAGATCTGTTGATAATTTCTCTGAAGTAAAAACTTTACAAGCATTATATTATTCAAGCATCTTTTCATTGCATTTCAAGCCTCCTGCTTACTGAATGTTGTAGACTGATTCATTTATGGCTTAATGTATTGAAGTGAGGTCAATGCAATATTTGGACCACTAAGATCAACCCAAACTATTGTTAGTTTCAAATTATCGTGGTCAGGTTATGTGCTTGAGTTCTTATGTCTCTCTTTTGGTATCTATCTTTGGAGAAGGCGAGTAGAGCCTCATGTGTCTTTGTACAACAATAGCAATCTTCAATTCTTAGTTTCAGTGAACTGGGGTTCGAATGCATTCTATACATCTGAACCACCTCTTCTATAGCATCCAACTTAACAAAACATTTTGCTACCATCTCAGGCATTGCTCATTTTGGTGTAGCTCTCTTTAAACCTGGCTAACATTTTGTGATGTTTGCATATCTTCACTTGCATAGAAAATCATTTACCTTGTGCTGATATTAGACATATCATAGCTTATTTTGAATTACTTTGTTAAATTACATGACAGGAAGTTGCTGTCAAAAAATTAATGAAACAAGACATCACAGGCAATGCACTCGCACAATTTAAATGCGAGGTAAGTGCGAATTTAGATCATTTTGTCTTGTGCACTATGTACCTTAGGAACAATAGGTAAATTCTCAAACTCTGTTCACTGTCATTCATTTTATGAAGGTTGATATCATGTTGAGGTTGAGGCATCCAAATGTTGTTCTTTTCATGGGAGCTGTAACAACTCCCCCGAATCTGTCCATATTGACCGAGTTTCTGCCAAGGTAAACCTCAATAGCTCATGTTACAGGCTAGGATGGATTTGGCTGTCTTAGCACATTCTTAATCCCATAGAATGGTGGCTTCTGTCCCTGTCTCACACAAGTAACCCCAGCTTGCATGCATACACACTAGGATGGTTAACTAGGTTTGGGTACTTTTTCTGTGGAATACCTTTGTGTGTTATCTGCTTTATGAGTTCCTTTTTTTTCCCCTTTCCTTGTTTTCCCTGTGGGTGGGTAAGATGAGATTGTTGAAGCTCTTTTCATAAAGCCAAGCTATTACACAGAATCGTGTCTTTCTTGATTCTACTGCCTTTTTATGAATGAAAGGACCTGAGTTGAAGATATCCTATGAAATCATAACATA